GAGAGAGAGAGAGAGAGAGAGAGAGAGAGAGAGAGAGAGAGAGAGAGAGAGAGAGAGAACTTTAACGTTAAGATTTTGTCAGGTCTGATTCTATTTCATCTCTGCCGTCCTGCCACCAGGGCGGAGGACCCCCAGGACTGGAGCAAATAACATCTTCTAAAATGAATTCTGATCCATTCTGGGATAAGCGCTGCTTTAATTTTCAAATAATATATAGGATAATACCTTTAGGTTTTGAATGTGTGAAATATGTTTTTAATAAACACTCATCAGCACTGACTCCTGTCTTTTCTGAAGCAAATCAGAGCTTTAATTTCTCTGCAGGGCATGTTTGAACAATTCCTTCTCACTCTTTCTACAAACTAACCCTCTTGTCTTCGCATCTAATTATTTAACCATGGCTCTGATCTGGGCTTATAGGATGTCTTAGGATGATTTTTACTGGACCCACATGGTCCAAAATATTTAAACAGGCAGGGTGAAGCTGAAGAGTTAGATCCTCTATGGTGGTTGACACCGAGAGCTGCTTGATCCCTTCAGAGTTAAAAACCTCAGTAAAACAAGCAATTACAAGCCTCTCAATAAAACAAACATGAATATTAAAGTTTACAATAATAAAAACATGTTTGTATCTTGGTGTGAGTTCAATCAAGAGATCAGAAAAGTCCCTTTAAAAGTCTTTGTAGTTCAGAGGACAATAAACCACAGTGCACAGCAGGGCAGGTGAATGAGCCTATTTTATCCAGGCTGAAGGAGATCCAGTCGTGGTTCCTGACTGACAGAAGAGATTTGCTTAGATCAAGTAGAGGAAAAATGATGGAGTCATGAACTTTTATTACACCATCATCAGTCAGTTTGGGTCAACAGTTCTTCAAGGTGCTGCTGTCTTTAACTAAAGACTAATCAGCAGGTTTAATCTGATGCAGGTGCTAGCTTTAAAGCTGCAAATTACAGAGATTTCAAAGTTTTGCTCAAATTTGAGTGATTCTATGTTTTTGCATTCTACTTCGTTTTAAAAAGGAGCTGTGACTGACCACAATACTTACATTTCTTTTTTAAGAATGGTTCTTAATGCCAGAAGGATATTAGAAGTGATAGTTTTATGGCATGTCAAATAAATTTTCATACAAAATTAAATAATTAAAATGACCCCCTTAACAATTGTTCACACTATGATTTTTGTCAGAGGTTGTCAAACATTTGGACTAACGGTTTCTTCTTCTTTGTGTCCTGTTGAAGCCCAGTCTGCTGGGTCTGGGTTCGACGACCAGACATCTGATCTTTGTCAAGTTAATGAAACAAGTCAGCAACACTGTAGCTCGAGGCAAAGACACAAGTCCACTTTCTGAAGCACAGACACACCAAACTAAACGCAGAATCCATTTTGTGATGACCTGCTTCCTGTTTTATTTAGTTAATAGTATAATGCCTAACAGTACCTGTTCCTGGCAGCTGCATCTCTAACATCCTTCTACCAATGTACCAAATGTACTTCCTCTGGACGTGTCCAAACCAAGAGAAGTTAATGAAAATGCTGCCAATATTGGACCCATTGACAAAATACAAATCTTTATTATGACTATGGTCGTACCAGCTAACACAATCTGCCAGATATTATTTTTGTCTAAGTCTTCTTATACTCACAGTTACAACAGCAAGCTCGTCAAATTAAATACATAAACAAAGTTCGATGCTAGAGAAATAAGTAAGTGATAATAAAAAAGAAAAGGTAGTTTGACAGATGTGACTTTTTATCCAAAAACTTTCTGTTATGAAGAAACGCCTATGCAAACTTCAGCCAACCAGGTAGTCCATGAGTAACACCCCCTTGTTTGATAGTCCAATCAGGTGTGGCCCTTGAGAAATGCCTTCCTTTGGAAACGGCTACTTCACCTGCAGAGACACCTACCAGTGGACATGWCCAAACCAATATACCCACTGTCCTTGCTCTGGATATGTCCAAACCAATATACCCACTGTCCTTCCTCTGGACATGTCCAAACCAGTATACCCRAAGTCCTTCCTTTGGATATGTCCAAACCAGAGTACCCACTGTCCTTCCTCTGGATATGTCCAAACCAATATACCCACTGTCCTTCCTTTGGACATGTACAAACCAGTATACCCACTGTCCTTCCTCTGGACATGTCCAAACCAATATACCCACTGTCCTTCCTCTGGACATGTTCAAACCAATATACCCACTGTCCTTCCTCTGGACATGTCCAAACCAATATACCCACTGTCCTTCCTCTGGATATGTCCAAACCAGTATACCCAAAGTCCTTCCTCTGGATATGTCCAAACCAATGTACCCACTGTCCTTCCTCTGGACATGTCCAAACCAGTATACCCACTGTCCCTCCTCTGGACATGTCAAAACCAGTATACCCACTATCCCTCCTCTGGACATGTCCAAACCAATGTACCCACTGTCCCTCCCCTTGAAATGTCCAAACAAATATACCCACTGTCCTTCCTCTGGACATGTCCAAACCATCTCAGTCAGGCCTCTCTGACTTTATCTCCCAGTTCTTCAGCCTGTGCTGTACCTCTG